AATAATAAATACATTTCTTTATCATGTATTAAGCTCTATTTAATTGCTCGGAATTTAAATATAACGAAAGACAACCCCTAACAATGTTCCTGACTTGAAACAGGCACTTTGAGATAATGCAAATAAAGATCGTTTATAGAATATAATATCAGTATTAGAGCTTATTTCCTAATGCTTGTAGATTGAATTTTGGTTGGCTTGCTTGCTTTGCTTGTATACATTGTATGGATGATATCCTGGAGGTTAGGAATCTAAATATAATATATACAGGTTTAACTCCGCCTATTTATATTGTATGCAGATGTCAATCTTAATTACAATGCTTGAGAAAACATTCATCCACACAAAGCAAGCAAGCCAACCAAAGTCTTACTATACAAGCATTAGGAAATAAGCTCTAAAGATGTCCAAAACACAGGTAAAAATACAAGTAAAACAATGCAAAATAACTCACTGTATTAAAGAATGATCGAAATTATTGAAAGAAAGTTCTCACACTACTAAATCTGCTAGTATAAAAAACATGCCTTCTTACATACATATTCTAATATCGGTCACTTTACTTTGAGAGTGATTTCACACAGTAACTTAATGAACAGTGCAGAAAACACGATACGGTGCAATTTCACCAAAAATAAAGTGTAGAGAATTGAAACATAAGTAGTTTGTAGTAGTATTTCAAACTCCCAGCCTCCCAGAAAACTAGTCACAATGATATCAAAACAACCGTATATCTATAACATTTATCGATAATTCTATAAGTTTATTAAACATAAAAGATAGGTCTTATACTTGTTTCCTTTATTAAAGAATTGAATACTTCTTTTTATGATTTTATTGGATGTAAAGGGGTTGACCGAAACACATTGTGTATGACGCGGAAGCGCTTCATGTTAAAAATCGATCAACGCTTTTACAACCCTAAAAAGAAGAATTAAATTCTTATAATTACATTTTATACTACCACCATGAAAATTAATAGTTATATAAAGCTTTTGTTTTGTTTTACAATGCACTAATTTAACATTGTCACGAATATCACGTGCAGCCATAGTTTTTGTATTTTATTTAGGAATTGAAGGATTATTGAGAAGCATTCAATTCGTATATTTACATTTTTATGCTACAACCATGAAATTAAGAGTTATATCAAGCTTTTTTTCGTTTTTCTATGCATTGTTTTAGTTTTAACATTGTTACGGATAACACGTGCAAGCTGTTGTATTTTATACGGAAATAAAATATGATATTGGAGAGCCTCACGACTGTGGTCAGCCAATCAAAATAACGGATTTAAATGAAACATACATATAATGTAATATCATACGGAAACAAAATATGATATTGGAGTGCTTCGCGATTGCTGCCATCCAATCAAAATTACGGATGCTAACGAAACATACATGCAATGTAATGTATTAATAAAACCACAAAAGTCTTCCTTTATAGAAATACCACTTTTATTAAATTCCTGAAAGTCAAATCATACTTTATATCAAATCCCTATATTTGTAATGAAAGTTCGTGTTCTATTTGTGACCAATTTATGTTATATGAATCCCGGTGGTTAAAATGATTCTATTCCAGTACAAGAGAACGCAACAAGTCCTATTTGTGAACATCATGCGCATATAACATTTAGTTTATATATATGTACTGTATGTTTGTTGAATAGCACGTCAATCACTCAACAGTAAACACCCACGTCATGCAGCAGCTGTTCCAAAGACATTAATATTCGTCACAGTTAACATGACGATGTTCGAACATTCAAATTATAATATTGACCTTTGCTGAATGTAAGCGAAACTATTCTGAAATGTTTTTCTGATGTATTTTTTATATTGTGAAAGAAGTTTTGAAATAAAAATCAACGTTATACATGTATTATCAAGTTATAATAAACATAGTCGTACCCAGGTTGTACCTTGTCATCATGTATTACCGAGGTAAAGGTTTATGTGTCCTCATCACTCATTCCTTCATAGACACTGTACAGTACATTATTATAAACATTTTTGATAAAAAATCTACCGAAGATATTTCTTGTCTAAATCAATTTTTTTTTCCTGTAAATACAGAAATGTCTGCAGTTTCTTGCAATAATTATGAAATATATTTATGATTTACATTTTTGTGAAATCACTGTTTAAAGATCTTTAAATCTCCAACATTTGATATTTTTGTTTACAGGCAAATAGTTTGTTGTTGGAGAAAAGTGATTTTTTGGTAATAAGAATTAATGAAATTTAACTGTAAATGGAGTTACAGTAAATTCAGCTTAATTTAACTTTTGAATAAGATGACGGATTAATTGATAGCTGAAAAAAAGTCAAAATTGAAAAACAAAATTCATCAAAGAATACTAATACACAAAGGAGTGTCAATGGTATAAAATGATCAACAATATTAGCACTGATGGACAAATACACTACACAATCCTGAAATAATGCACAGGAAAATGTTTTAAATTGCTGACACATTAATAGTATTATACAAAAATATAAAATCTTTAAGTTAAGCACAAAAAGTAAAATGTAAATGAGGTAAATGTCAGATGAACCCTGCCAGACAGACATGTACACTTTACAATCATACTATTCACCAAATATAGTTAGTCTATCCTATTGTTTTAATATAGTATCTGGGAAACATTTATAGAGTATAGTGGGGAAAGTAGCTTCTCTAGGTAATGTTAACGAATGCTCTTTTGGTGGAATAACGGGTAGCTGTCAGTAAAGAGTATGCCTGCTCACTTTTGTTGGGTAGTAGACCAAAAACGAGTTAGTAAATAGCTTCATAGACCATTGGGTTTATTGTGTAGAGTTGAGCAAACTGAGAATGGTACCCTCCAAAGGAGATGTATTAGTCCAATTTATTTAATATTATGGTCAATGATTTATTTTGTTAAATTTCACAATTTACAAATGACGGTGCTATATGGAAATCAGTTTCATGCATTAAGTTTTTTTTCAAAAAAAATACAAGACTAGATAATATATGTAAATGGTTCTCTGAAGGAAGTTTTAAAATTTCTCCAAGTAAAAACTGTTAGGAAATTAACTAGAAGGAAAAATATATATCCTCACAACTTGGCAAACATATATTAGAAACGGTTTTAAGCAGAGGCGGATTTAGGGGTGGGGCAGGGTTAGTTTTTGACCATGTCTTTAAAAACTGTGCTTTATATGAAATAATAGGGAAATTTGGGATATATGAAACACCTTTGACCTAAGACTAGATATTTTGCAAATGAAATAGAGTTAAAAGTTTGATATTTAAACAGGATCGAGGAATAAAAAAAATAAGAAGCTACTGAGTGTATTTCATTATATCTAGGTAAATACGCCTTTATCCGGTTTAGATTACCAATCCATTCAGTTGAATTACTGGTGCAACCTTCAAATTTACTGCAAAAATGTGTATAATACGTTATTTTAGATATTCAGAGGGGATCTGGGCTCATATTCCCTGTCAGTGTTTTATATCTCCTTAGCCGCCAGGCGAAGTGCATATAGATTACTGACATGGTATATAATCCAATACCCGAATAACAATTATATTATACTGGAGTGTCCTGATCTCAACATTAATTACCATTCTATCTTTGCTTTTGTTCACAGGTTATATGAGCTCACAGAGTTCACATACCCTGTCAAGGTAACCAATCAAAATGCATGATAAATGCCTCCTTATTATTTGCAACGTCGCTAATACAACGCGTTGGATGTGTTCTGATCTACCCCACAGTTCAGCAAACATATTTAAGATGAAATTAAAAGAACATGAAAAAAAATGAAGTACGATGTTTTTATATATACGATAATACTGCGGATCGACGCCGTGTGTTGCAATCGTTATATAGCGTAAGGGAATTAACTCAATTCATCTCGTTAAAGAAGATCAGTTGCAGAAGAGTCTATACCAAAATTTACGAATGGCTAGTTGAATAATTCTGCTGCCTAACTTACAATTGATACTTTGTATGTAAAATTGTGAAAATGGGAGCGAGACAATTAAGTGGCGGATCTAGGATTTTAAAAAATCGGGAGGGGCACACCGAAAAACTAAGTTAGCAGGACGGCAGAGAAAATTTGTAAAAAAGTACTGCAACCACACATTCTCCACAACACGTAAGGACCGGTCCCTTCGCCTCCTCCTGTTAACATTGACACTGTATTCGTTATAAAAGAGTTATTAACATATCAGTATAAATGAATAAGATTATGGTTGCCAGTGAGACAACTCTCTATACACGTGAACACTTACAGGTCAATCCACGACCTTTCACAATGCGCAAACACCCATACCGTATAGTAAACTTTAAAAGGCACTGGTGTTACAAAATGTAAACAACTTTGAAAGAAAACCCCAACGACATCCAGTGCATTTTAGATTCATGGCTTATGTCTGACCCAAAAACATCACTGAAGACACATTAATTGTCGAAATGCCCATCTGGTGCAGTAAAATTGGTACCGTTAATATCATTATAGCAGTATTGAAAATTCTTCGTACATGTAAAAACAATTTGAACATGGAAAGCATTTAAAAAAAAATACCATGGAGTGTTTGTAAGCGAGATGCTGGTAACAGAAAGACAACATCATGTCCAAATACATACAAGCGAAAAGATAAGACAACAAATGAACTTGGTGAAAACTAAAGATAAGCAACACGATTCCCATTACCATGGATGGGTTTGGATATTCTTTAAGTTCCCTTATGGTCATATATAGCGCTACACGTGTCGAGGTACTTATATACCCTTGGCTTTCAATTTTTGGGGTTTATAGAGCGTCCCTGATGAAGGTAATGTCCAGGAAAGTGCTCCAGGCCCACCAAATTCATTATTTTTTTTTCATTTTCCAATCCCACTAAAAAATGGTAATCGATAAAATACTAATTGAAGAGGAAAAAACTGATTCTACTTTTCTTTTAAGTATAATTCTAACATCACTCACCAGTTTATTTTTTTAAGATAAAACTGACAATGTCTGGATAGGATAAATGATTTTATTTACTAAAAACAGACTTATTGCCAAAACTACGGTGGTAAGGTTGCATTTCTAATATGAATAGAGCTGGAAATGCAAAAGTATGTGTCTGGCGTCTGTTAATGAAACAATTCTAGTTAGGCCCGGTTCTGCTTTCTATGATGAACTTGCATCTTCAACATCTACAACATAATAGAACAACAATAATAGTAAAATTTATTATCAATATAGCTGTAAAAAAGAATCAGAGAATGGACAATACTGATTTTTTAAAAGTTTTTATGGTAATTTTCCGACAATTTTCATAACTGTTACAGATGAATTATTTTAACTGTTATGTAATAATAAAGAACACGCGCTTCCTGTTTTGCAACTTTGGATCTGAATGAAACCTTATGAAATATTTCAGTGATGAATCTAATGACTTTGATTATTGTTGGAGCAATTTCTTCCCAAAAATATTAATAATTTTGAATTAAATCAAATCTGTAATTACAGTCTCTTTTTTGCGATATTTTTTCCTATTTAAAAATTTTGTCACGTTAACTCGTGACTTTTGTTTCAAAGTGCTTGTACCATGTCAGTAGCTTGAAAGATATTTACAAATTATCAAGTAAACATTCGTATGCAGGCAAAAGCAAAATGAAAGTATAAACATATGTGCTTTTGAATGAAAGGTCAACATTCAATCATAGATTAGGAACGTTGTCAATAATTGTCTTCTATTATTTATCAATAATTAAGTTGTTTTCTTCTTTTAGTAATGGAAATCGTTTTTGGCAAGGCCAATTAAACTCCCTCCTTTTTATAGAGCTTTACACGTGATTATTTGTTGAGGACTGAATGCGGAACTCTTACATGTCTTTTGCTTGTTCAATTTTGTGGCGTGGGGATGCTATCACACGGACGAACGTCCAATATCTCTTCTAATTGATATTATTTAAAGCTAATATTTCGTATGAACTTGATACTAAAATTCAGTATAAGGGATACTTGCTTAAAACAATGAGATTAACGTCAGTGCTGATAGATCCATCTACAGTTGTTGCTGTACATGTGTATACCCCCGCATCATTTATAGTTACACCAAGAATAAAAAAGTCATCACTATCAACTATCGTATACATTCGCCTTTCTTGTGCAGCAGGAAAATCATCTACACCATCTTTTGACCATGAAATGATCGGACTTGATCGACCAGTAGCAGAACATTCAAATCTAGCAAATTTTCCTTTTTCCACCCAGACGTCAGATGGTTTCTTGATAAAACGAATGTTTTCTGTAAAAATACGTCAATCCTTTGGAATTAGTTTTCCTTCCACATAATGTAGACGGTGTTGTTTTCCCTTCGGTATACACCACATCTAACTCTTTATATGTTTGTTAAATAGATTTAATAAATTTAGCTGCACAACTGGCGAGCTGATGCCATAATGATATGTTTTTTTTATGTACTATCATAGTCTAAGTGTTGTGGTTTAAGGATTAAATACTTTATGTTCGGTTGAGGAACGAATGAGAACATAATTATAGATAACTTTGGACCAAATTAACATAACAGTCACTACTCTGGTCATACATGAATCACCGTCCTCAACTTTACAACTAATCTTACTAGAAAAGTGTATATAACATTTCAGGTAACAAAGCAATTTTACTTCCAATGTGCTAGTTGTTTATAGTGAACAGTTGTACAATCTTTGTTACACAACATGATCTGACATAAGCTCAAACTGAAACAGGAAGACCCGAGTGCAAGTTTTAAAAATTGCATGAAATATTGATGCATTGCGCGAGGGTTCTTCATTTCCTGTTTAGATATTGTCCGTCCTGTGAAAACCATGTGTACCTGTGCATTGTGTGCAATACTTTATATTTACTAAAACGGCCAAAATGATTAGATATTGGCCGGCCTATCTTGTTCAAAACGTTAAATTTTGCTGTCCCCGCATGAGTGGAAAAAGGCACGGATCATTTATCTTGTGAGTTGCGGGTGTTTTTTTAAACAAATAATTGATTATAACTTTAATCATATACAAACTATTTTAAACATGGTGGTTAAACATGAATTGCTCTGATTGTTTTGGTTAAATAAATTAATACTAATCTCAACTACAGAAAGACAATTTCTTTCTTAAAAATGAGAATTTCCGAAGCAAAACTATATACGTAAATTATTTATAATAAAAAATATACATAGTATTATTTAATCAGTCAGTAAATCAATATTATTGTTTTTGCAATGTTTGCACCTTCTTATACAGTTTTCTTTTCATACGAAACATTTTCGTTCACCTTTCCAAAATGAATATATACTCTGAGTTTTGGTATACTATCAGTTTCATTTCGGATTGTCATTTAAGGAACTATCGAAATCTAAAGGAGAACATTTATTGATTCTAAATAAATATATGCATAAAGCTGTAGGACTATTGGAAAATATTAAAGACAAATTTTACAACTGATTGATAATATCTAAAATCATCACTATTATGTTATGGGCTTGTGAAACTCATAACACTATATCAATTCATTGTAATTACCATTAACGGCATTCACGTTAAGTAAAACCATTCTTCTAACTGTATTCTTAGCACTAACTTGACATTCGTATTCTCCTGCATCACCTGGTTTGACATCCGTAATAATCAAATTCCAATCGTTTGTTCCTGTTGCATGTTGAATTGATATACGTGAATCAGAAGTGAACACATATTGTCCAATGGTTAATGGATGGACATCAGAAATACGTCTCCAGATAACCTGCATATTGATATATGTGCTTAAAACTTATTTTTGATGTCATATAAGTAAAGAAGATTTGGGGGTCAATAGTAATGAGACAGCAACCCTTAGACAACAAAAGACACAGAAGTTAATTGAATGATCTATGTGTATTTTTTATGGAGTGATCTTCATAGCAATAGAAAAACAAAGGATATGGGGTATCCAGCCATGACACAAAATCAGTACATGCACAGCAAAATAAAAACACACTAAAAGCAAAGGAACAGCGCTTTTATTGCTGTTCTTCATCTCAAAGTCACAGCGAGCCCTTCAACACGGAGCAAAAATTCTTACCTCACTGCAAGTTTAAGACGGCCCCTAGCACTGGTTTGAGTGGAATTCTTTGCAAAAATAATTTGGGTAATTTTGATAGACTTTATAAGTATATTTGTGGTCTAGTGTATTTTTTGCAAATGCAAAAATTGTAATGTGTTCTAGCAAAAATAACTTATACAGCTTAATGTGGTTCCTGTTGCTCAGTTGTTATTTTTCTTTATTGTATTTTGTAGACTGTTGTTTGTCTTTTCTTAATTTTTCGTTTTTTGTTTGCCATGTCAGTTCGTTTTCGACTTATGAGTTTGAATATCCCTTTGAAATATTCCGCCTGTCTTAATAGCAATGACAGCAATCATGTAGACATACAAATGACATCACTGTTTTTATCTATTGATGTACTTTTCACAATGTCGTCGTTATAAGATGCATGTTTGTAGTCTAGTCTATATTCTGCAAACGGTTCATTTACATAAATACATGTCTTGTTTATTGAAGAATATAATGCTAACTTGCTTTCAAAAGTTGGAATGTGTTCAAGCAAAATATACTTATACCTTTGTATCTGACTTTCAAATAAAACAAATTTCGTTAAACTGACAAATATATATGCAACTATAAAGAGTGGTTCATCTATGAAACTTGATCCACGTAGCAGAGCAAATCAATGATAAATATGCATTGTTTCAAACTAGATACTAGTTATCTTCTTTATAGAACTGAATGCTGTGTTTATTGTGAAAATGAAACAGGTAACTTCCCTTTTTTCATGGAGAGCAGATATAAAAAAAAAAGTCCAGTATCTAATTCTGATTTTTACAAATCTTCAAAAGTAAACGTTAGCGTAAATACCTTTTGAATCTGAAAGTAAACCCTAAACACAAAAAATCGAGTGAACTCATCTAGTGAGACGAAAGCAGTATCACGCCACGTGGAATCAATTTAACGTCATTTAGCTTATCATAACATATTATTTAATTTCAATACGTATTATACATGTTCATCGTTTGTAAACAATTAATTATCACATATTTCTATAAAAATATTCATATTTACAATATGAAAGGTCAACCACTATTTCAAATTGATTAATTTTGCGATTTATTCTTTTAAACATAAAAGTTTGCAGGATGTCATTTTGTTTGAACGTTTCCGGTAAAGGTAAGTCCAGAAATGCGTTTCGGACGCACCAAATATTTAAATTATTTCATTTTACAAAAACAATTTATACGATCACACCAGTATCTTTATCTAAATAAAAGATATACTTTTTATATGCCGTCCGTCAGTAAACTATGAATTAGCAATATGCCGTCCGTCAGTAAACTATGAATTAGCAAAGTACATTGTAGTTACGAAGATTTTATAGTGGCAATAGGAAAAAACTAAAATAATTGGAATAGGCAAACCATGAAATAGTCAACTTTACATGCGAATTAAGTAAATACAAATAAAATGTTTAACAAGGTTTAGAGCCAAACAAGGATAATGCTTGAAGTTTTAGAACGATATAAAAAGAAAGTCCGGGTTACCATATGAACAAAACATAACACTCATACATAAATCTAGAGATATCAAAAAGTTTATCATCGGAAACATGGCAAGATGAGGAACCCCCAAGAAAACAAAACAACATGTGTATATATTTTAAAGGAGTAGGCTCGGTAAGACCCCTTTTTGGCCCCAAAATATAGCATTTTACAAATTTGTTGAAAATGTATACTTTTAGCTATTCATTGGAAAGTAGAATACTTTTGTTATATAAATATGGGCTGTTTTTGACAATACAATGCACATGTACTAACTTACATCATTAGTCGTGCAAAATTACTGAAATCTTCACAATTTTAGCATTTGTGCAAATTTTATCTTATATGAAAAGTGACAAGTATAACATTAATTTGTAAAAAAAATATTTGATATTTAAGAGATTGTTCGGCCTTTTACCACGCCAAAATCTAATAATTAACGTTTTGATGAGTTAATAGTTTTGAAACGTTTACAATACCACATCTTACAGTTTTTGTGCCCAGCCACTTAACAGAACAAACCAATGTGGCTGTGTCTCCCTCAGAAACATATGCCTCATTTGTTGAAGGTTCAATAACAGGAATAGGGACACGTATCGCTGAAACTGTAAAAGTTGAAATAAATTGATCAAGTTTATAGTAATAGAAAGCAACGTTTATATCTCATGTATTGATGTACATCTAGAAATTGCATTAAAAAACAACAAAAGTTTACGAAAAAAGAGATGATTTCAACTCCCCCATTGTGAACTTTCCTCACACTTCTTACGAACACCATCATGAGGAGGTTGACCGTTATCGATTATCTGTTTCATAGATGACGACAGATATGTTCCAATTGATGCAAACGCGTCCTCTTTTCCTTGAATTTGATCTACTTGATACGACTTTCATCGGTCTTGTACTATACTGAGCAACACGACGAGTGCCACATGTGGAACAGGATCTGCAAACTCTTCCGGATCACCAGAGAGCCCCTTAGATTTGTTTAAAAGGGATTCGTGCTGCCTTGCTTTAGTTTTCGGTATTGTATTTGTGCTTTTGAATTTTTAAATGTCTTTGTTGTTTCTACCAGCAACAGTTTTGTCTATCCCTTGTCCCGGAAAACGTTGTTTAAATTCAAAATTTCTTATTCGGTCAGTTTTCGGGTAAACAATTTTACATGACCGATGATTTCCGAAGTTGGTGATATCTTAGGGTTAGTTAAGAGTCAGTTACCAATCCGTTATTGCGGGATGTCTAATAACATGATATAACTTATCAAAATAACTTATGACAGTAAAACGACGGGTGTCACATGTGGAGCAGGATCTACTCACCCTTCCGGAGTACCTGAGATCACCCTGTTTTAGCTGGGGTTCGTGTTGCTCATTCTTTAGATTTCTATGTCGTGGTTTGTAGACTGTTGTTTGTTGTTTGTCTTTGGTCGTTTTTCGTTTTTGCCATAGCATTGTCAGTTTTCGACTTTTTAAGTTAGACTATTCCTTTGGTATGTTCCGCCTCTCTTTTATATGTAAGTATGAACTGTAACATGCCTCTAACATCTCTAAACTTTTTATTTAAATGTATACTTTATTATGCTCTTCAATAACATTAACTGTACCAGTTTTACTACATCAGATTCGACAACAAATGTCTGCAGAGATGTTTGAGGCAAACAATATTTGAAAATCAAAAACTTATTAAAAATGTTTTAAATTTGTAAAAAGTTTGCCCTTTAACATTTATGATTCAAGCGCAACTGATGACTCGTGTCTGGAATACTAAAATATAAGCCTGGTATTTCTTACGTATCGTACCACAACCAGGTGAGGATTGGCATGATGGTTTCACCATCTTAGTATAGTCAGTACACCAATGTAAACATGGACACGTAGTCATTTTAAGTACATCCACTGTTCAAAATGTTAGTCATTTGAGAACTCTTAGGTTTTCTATTACCAGGAATTGATTGCCAGGCCAGATTTGAAACAACGTTTTTGTATGTTTGGTTTCAATGCTCTTTACCTTCTTAATTGATTGTGCCTTGAAATGAAAAAAAAAAATGAAAAAAAACTATGTTTAAATTTCGAGCGTCCGAAGCTCATTTTAGATTTATCTTCATAAGGAACGCTCAAACCTAACAGTTTGATTTTCGCATCACTGATGAGTGTGTGAAGACGACACGTGCTTCTGGCAGTCTAAATTGTCAGCTTTATATCTTTGATCAGTGTTCAGGTAACGACATGTAATTTTGTGAATTTTTATAAGCTAACTGTCAGTAGGAAGTGAAATAAAATTAAAAGCTTGAAATCAATATAACACTTTAATTCCGTGCGTCCAATGTGCTTTTCTAAAAACATAGAACAGAATCACCTTTGATTATTTCTAATACTAAATTGTCAGACACGAATCCTTCACGAAAATAACAATCCTAGACGTTTTTTTCATTAAATTAAAGACATGATAATTGGTGTCCTTTGCCTTTGAGATAATTTTTGAATTTCGGTAAAACTGAAGGTCTATGGAATTAACTTTTATCAAATATAATGCAAATAATTATATTATAATAATGATAATAATGCAAAAAAATGAAACAGATATTCCATAATGGTCAATTGCAACCAAGTGATGATGGCGTTCGTAACACTTGAAACCCTTGGTTTAATAGCTTCCTTGTGAGCATTAACCCTCTATCAAGGAATCATGAAAGGATATGCAAGTCCTGGAATATCGTATCAAGTAGGATATATATACTCCATATGCGGGCGCTACTGGAATGTTGCTACTTAGAAATGGAAAGTTCACAATTTGGAAGCTGAAATCAACTCTTTTGTCGTAAAGTTTTGTTTTCAACCGACCCTCATTGTCAATTTCTAGATGTAAGTAAAATAATGAAGCTGACTTAACTGTATCTGTTGTATCCTTCATCTCAAGTTCAATTGGATAGATGCGTTCAACATAGTCACCAAACTTTGAGTTATGTAGTGAGAGAACATCAGCTAAAGCGGAAAGGGAAGTTAAAGGAGAGTGCCAACTTCCTCTTAAGAAACTCCTGTATGAAGTCAGCCTCATATGAATAAAGGAACAAGTCGACAAGAAGAGGAGCACTGTTGGTTCCCATTGGAATGCCGATTGTTTGTTGAAAAACAAGTCCTCCAAACGTTACAAATATGTTGTTATTATATGCAAAAGGGGACTGAAGCTTCCACCATAAAGTACAAAAAATCTGACAAAAAGAGATGATGGTGAAAACAATTGAAGCAGATGAAACAATGATGATTTCTTCCAAATGTTGATTGTATAAGAATATGCGATATCTTAAAATTTCATTTACCCATACATCTTTAAATGTTTCTTCTACACATTTACTTGTATTTTTCGTTTACCCATATGTTTTTTTTTATACTTTTCGGCAACATATTGTAATCTATCCATATATTTTTTATACTTTTAACTTTACTTTTTACCTTTTTGTTAATTGGTTCATTTCTCAGAGAACTAGACATGCATAAAAAGAGATGTTTCAAATGCTTAGGTTTGAGCGATTCTGATGAAGAAAATTTAGAAAAGCTTTTCGGATGCACGAAATTTATAAATGTTTTTTTTTTATGTTCGGTATGCTTCAATATATATATGCACAAATATGAAGTATATATCTAAGAGTCAAAAGAAATCCTCAACACTCCATTTTAAACTCTAACGTTTTAGATAATAATCCGTATATGAAATAAACGACAATAAACAATAGGCTGCATTTTGCTATATTTGAAATAACTGATTGTAAATCTTAAAAAAGAAATAGTTGAATATGACGAACCTTTAACAAAGATAAGAATCAAAATATTGATATAATAGTAATTTCATACCTGTCACTGAAAGGTAAAGCATGATAAACCCTTCCATACTGCACAATTTTTAAAAGTTGTGGTCGCTTTTATTTTCAATCTCTCTTTACTCGTAACATAAATTGCGCAGAAATAAAAAAATGGAATATAACATATATGATAGATAACTCTTCGGCTAAAATTTTTTTACAACAACTTTAACCGTTGAAATAATGTCTGTAAATGCGATGTTTAAAATAGAACAATTGTGTAATTGATTTAACAAGCAGGATATATCATTGCTGAGCCTCGTTTATTTGTAATAAAATATCATTTTAAATGTCATTTAAAATTCACTGACAAATTATAATGATAATGACAAAGATCATAGTAGTAATCATAAGGGAGCAACCATTTAACTTCGAGGGGGGAGGGGGGGGGGGGGGTTATGGTTCTTTGTCTGTGTCAGAAATTTATTTTCGCGCAAACGCCAACATTTGTTTTTAGTTTTTCGACGCTATCAATCAAACTATTTTTTTCAAAATTTTCAAAACACTATAAGGTATGGGGAAAATCTGGATTCAGAATATTTTTTTTTTATCTGCTTGACCACACTATTTTTTTTCATCAAATTGGGGATCAGAATATATTTTTAGGAAAAAACCATACCCCCTCCTCCTTTGAAGTTAAATGGTCGTTCCCTAATTTCATAAAAATGCTGAAACTCATACATTCGCTCGATCCTAACATTGGAGATACTCCCGAATCTAGAATGTGCAATTCGTATCTCGATCTTGCCATTGAAATTGACGACCTACGTAAAATTAACAATTTCAATATCTCCTTTGTCAACTTCCAATTTCTCAGTATTGGCATACCATCTGCCCCATTGTATGGCTTTTACATATCTCAATTGAAAAGTTACGAGAGCCATGTTAACTTTAAACGGATTTCATTAACATAGGTGTGCCGAGAATGCAAAAATACGCCTGCGAGGTTATGAACAAGAACGACTGAATTCTATACTTCACAAGTTTTCCGGTCACCACCACGAATTGGTTGTCCTATACGTTGTGTATTGACTCACAAGCGACAAGATTTCGTGATCTAAAATCTAAACATGCCAGATTAGCCATCTGATCTGTAAATTTACCGCTTGTGTCCAGTTCCAATAAGCAATATTTTGTATGTGTTTCGATTCGAATGGCGAATGGTGGCATAGTAGGAGACACGTACCTTATCAAAGTACACTGTCTCGTTTTTCAAATTTGAATTGCACAATGTTCTATCATCTTCAATGTTGTATGTCTGTTCTTACTTTTCATTGACCATGATGTTTTCTTATCTTTGATTACCGTTTTTATATCTAGATAACTCTGTTTTTTGTCAAATACTCGAAAAAAGTAAAAAAAAAAACCCCAAAAATACCGAACTTCCAAGAAAGATTCAAAACGGCAAGTCCCTTATCAAATGACAAAATCAAAAGCTCAAACGAATGGAAAACAACTGTCATATTCTTGACTTGGTACAGGCATTTCCTTATGTAGAAAATGGTGGAGTAAAATGGGCTTTATACTAGCTAAACCTTGTATGACAATCGCATAGAATTCCATTATATTTGATTTATCATTGAACACCATTTTCACGATGTAAGTACATGTAGCACAAAAGTGAACATGACATTTTACGTTGATAAATGGATGACTTAATGTGATGAACTTTTAAAAAGAGGCGAAAGATACCAAAGGGACATTCAAACTCAAAGGTCGAAATTAAACTGACAACGCCACGGCAAAAAAAAAAGACAAAGACTAAAAGATAAACAACAACACACAAAACACAAGACTAAGCAACACAAATCCTATCAAAAACCGGGGGTGATCTCAAGTTCTTCGGTAGGGTAAGCAGATCCTATTCAACGTATGGAAACCGCCGTGTTGCTCATATCAGTACAAATCTGGTAATAAGTCTAAATCGGTAGGTCACATTCGGGAATTTGTTGACTATGTTGAACGCATCTATCCCATTATCGAACTTGAAATAAACGATACAACAGATACAGTTTGCCTCATATCTTGACTAACTTCTAGAAATTGACATAGAGGGTCGGCTAAGTACATTAATTTACGACAAAAGAGATGATTTCAGCTTCACAATTTCTATGTAGCAACATTCCAGCAGTGCCTGCATATGGAGTATATATCTCCCAGTTGATACGATATTCCAGGGCTTGCGTTTCCTATCATAATTTCCTCAAATAGAGGGTTGCTGCTCACAAGGAAGCTAATAAATCAAGAGTTCCAAGTCGGGAAGTTGAAATCTTCTATTTTGACGGACGCCATTATGAGTTCGTTGTTCGGATTTGAACGGATATGTTCAAATCGTCGTAATCACAATCCCGTCCTTCTTTTCCCGAATGTGACCTACCGATTTAGACACCGGGTTTGTACTTACATGAGCAACACGACGGGTTCTATACGTTGAGCAGGATCTGATTACCCTACCAAAGAACCTGAGATCACCCACCGGTTTTTGATGGGATTTGTGATGCTCAGTCTATAGTTTTCTATGTTGTGTTTTGTGTGTTGTTTTTTTTTTTTTATCTTTTAGTCTTTTCTATTTTTGCCGTGGCGTTGTCAGTTTATTTTCGACCTTTGAGTACGAATGTCCCTTTGGTATCTTTCGCCTCTCTTTAACAATTCATCACATTAAGTTGTCTATCTATCAACGTAACATTTTTTGTTAACTTTAGTGCTACGTATACTTACACCGAGAATGGTGTTCGATGATAAAACGAATATAATGGAAATGCTTTGCAACTGTCATACAAGTGAGAGGTTTAGCTAACTATAAAGCCCGGTTTACTCCACCATTTTCTACATAAGGAAATGCCTGTACCAATTCAGGAATATGACAATTGTTTTCCATTCTTTTGATTTTGCGGTTTGATAATATAAGGTGCTTTCCGTTTTCAATTTTTCTTGGTTTTCGTCATTTTGCTTAGTTTCTTTTGTTACCTATTCTGACATCGGACTTGGACTTCTTTTGAACTGAGTTTTACTGTGCGTATTGCTATGTGTTTTTTTTTTGTACATTGGCTAGAGGTATAGGGGGAGGGTTGAGATCTCACAAAACATGTTTAACCCCGCCGCATTTTTGAGCCTGTCCCAAGTCAGGAGCCTCCGGCCTTTGTTAGTCTTGTATATTTTTTAATTTTAGTTCATTTATATGGTTTGGAGTTTAGTGTGACGTCCATTTTCACTGAATCAATACACAATTTTATTTAGGGGCCAGCTGAGGCCTTGTCACTCGTTGGTTTTTTTTCATCAATTTATTCTTGGACTTATTATTTTATAAGTACACTCATGTAGGTAGAAAACCTATCAATGTGTAAAATGAATTTGTAGTAATATGTTTTCGTTAAGTATTGATTACAGATAAATTCTGCATTTTATATATACACACACGGATTAATCATTTTTCTTCATTTTTTTTGGCTTTTTCATTTAAAATAGTAGTCTCTCGTTCTAATATGGATATGTTCCTAAACATAGGAATATTTGGACCATATGCGTATGGTCATGACCATATGCATACATTCTCATATGGTCCGACCATATATGCTACATGCTCTAAGTATTTCTAATTGTTTTTAGTTATTTAATGTGTTCTTGCTCTTATTCATACTATCTTTCATTGACATTGGTAAATTAAAAATAAGGAGAAATGAGAAGAAGTTTTGTTTCTGAAATAACAATTTAAACACTAAGAAAAAAAAGGTCCATGCCCCAAACACCTATGGTTTCATTTACGGACCAAAAAGTCGACAGGATAAATGCGATTTAAATAAACTCTAGCGAAGGCAAGATAAAAAGTAAAATAACAAATATACCGAACTCCAAGGAAAATTCAAAACGGAAAGTCCCTTATAAAATGGCAAAATCAAAAGCTCAAACACACCAAACGAATGGAAAATAACTGTCATATTCATGACTTGGTACAGTCATTTCCTTATTGAGAAAATGGTGGATTAAACCTGGTTGTAAAGCTAGCTAAACCTCTCACTTGTATGACAGTCGCATAAAATTCCATTGTATTTACAACAATGTGTGAGCAAAATAAACAGACATAATAGGTTAAATTGTCAAAAATAGGGGTACAGCATTCAACATTGTTTTATAATCTTAATGACTATAAAACAAACAAATATGTCAACAGAGAAAATCAAAATGGCATATAGACAAAGCACATAAGCAAAAATGAAGTACAGGATGCTAAAAATGACCATAGCACAATAACACAATGACAGGATGTATAAGTACCGATACACGCCAAAAGGATTTTACCAAAAAAGGACTAAACAGTAAAGGTTAATAATTTACAAAGACAAATAAAAGGACACTATAACACGTAATTAAGATGATAAAAATGTCAGGACCTAGAATCTATACTCCAACACCATCATGTATTATTTGTGAAGTTGATACGGAATATTTATCATCAAGGTCTTGGTATCTTCCGATGAACTTTTTTTAGAAAAAAGGACGAGACGATCTTTGGCATAACCCTGGTTCATCAACTTTCTGCTCAGACACTGGTGACGTTTTTTAAAGTCTGAGTAGCTGCTGCAAGCTCTTGAATATACATTTCCCAACTCATTCTTGAATACCGAATGAGTTGGGAAATGTATATCCCATATGCAGGTGAAGTTGGTTTATTGCTACTAAGGCGGGAGAAATTGATACTTTCAAAATAAAAATCGTCTCGTTTGTCATAGATTCTGGTACTGAGATGACCGCTTATGAGTATCCGCATATGGTCAAAAAATACTCTTATGGTCACTTAAAGTTGGTTGAGCGTTATGGAATATCCTTTTCACAGATGACAACGGATATGTTCCAATTGTCTTAACTACAATCCCGTACCCCTTTCCTCGAATGTAACCTATCGAATTAGACTTATCTCCGGGTGTGTACTAATATGAGCAACACGACGGGTGCCACATGTGGAGCAGGATCTGCTTACCCTTTCGGAGCACCTGAGATCTACCCCGGTTTTTGGTGGGGTTCGTGTTGTTCAGTCTTTCGGTTTCTATGTTGTGTTTTAATGTGCTGTTGTTTGTCTGTTTATCTTTTTCCATTTTAGCCATGGCGTTGTCAGTTTATTTTTCGTCCCTTTTGTATCTTTCGTTTCTCTTTTAAACATTTTAAAATGTTCACTTCTTATTATTTTATGTCACTGTATTCTTTTTTTTAACTATTCCCTTGAAAACTTTGTCTCAGAGAGTTGCAAAATCAGATCTTATACAATCTAATCAGCTAAGGATGTACCAAAGTGTGTTCTATTCAGGCTATGGAAGTCAACGTTGGATTGCTATGATGATTGAATGCTTGAGTATACTATATAACTTTAATGTATTTATAAAGAGTTGCATTTTTTATAGCCGTTCGCTGACCTGTACTTGTTCACATCTTAGTTACTGTTTCGCTTATGGACCTTTTATCTTGTTCAAATGATTTTATATGACAATAAAAACATTATCAAACTCTCCTGAGCTGCAATTTTTCCCCAAAAGTTTTGTTGATCTCTTTATGTTAATCATTTTGTAATGCATATGAAACTATACATGTGATTTATTATCGAATGTACAAGAATACAAGAGTCCATAAGTTTTTGATATAGTATGTTATAAATATCTTTTTATGTGCTGTTGTTTGTTTGTTTATCTTTTCCCAGTTTAGCCATGTCACAATACAGCGAGAAACTCTCCGGGTGCGGGAGTTTCTCGCTGCATTAAAGACCCATTGGTGGCCTTCGGCTGTTGTCTGCTCTATGGTCGGGTTGTTGTCTCTTTGACACATTCCCCATTTCCATTCTCAATTTTATATTGAACAATAACAATTTGAACTATAAGTGCTATAGAAAAAGTCCGGTAGTGGAGTTGAATTATGAATGCCCTTATTTGGCACAACATATGCTGAAAATGTAGGTAGCATAATACAAGATTAAATATAAGCAATAATCACGTGATATTCAATAACATATCATGGTCACAAGGAGTGGCAAAAAAAGCGAACATTAGAAAAATGTCCAACAACTTTAAATTTAGGAAAAATGGTAGAAAAAGGATAATACATTTTGTTTAAATATTTGCTACTTCTTCAAAGTGCTTGAATGTTTGCTTAAAGCAAATATACAAGGAAAATCTTTCATAATTAAAGAATATTATATTATGACTTCATAACGTTATAATATCCGTTAATTTCTCTAAATATTCGGGGCATCTTATTAAAAAAATATTTATAAAACATTCATCCAAAAAAAGGACTTTAATGTTTCATCATCTTTTTCTGGCTTTACTACTGAAATAACTTAATAATTACAGCAACTAAGTGTTAGCTCGTAAAAAAAAGATGTCATCACCTTTTGGTTTATAAGGGAGAACTAAATGTATTTAAGCGACAAAATACTGGTTTCGTACTAAGAAATAAACCATTCTTCCATTGTATATATACAAGTTTTGAAGTTTTGTTTCTTTAGCATGTACACTAAACATAATTTGTTTTTCTATTGATCAATTTCTTTTTGTTCTCCAATATCTTTTTTTTTCAATGTTCTAAACTGTAACATTTGAAGTTCAATCTTTTTCTAGTTTTGTTTTTTGATACGGTCAGCACGACAGATTTGAACAATCTGTAACGAAGAAAACAAATAATAACAAAATTTACTGTTTATCATTCACTGAAAATAGACAAATAGTCTACAACATATCATCATAAAAGAAATGACTTGAGCTTATTGTCAAAAGTCTAAAATCAAATTAAGTAAAGTTTTACAAATTTTAGAAGTCTTTAAAATCAACATTTACATAATCCACAATTGCAATAGTAAAACTAAAATATAATTATGTTCTAAGCTCCTTTATAGATAATATGCACTATAAACGAGCAAACAGTGAAACCATTTTAAACTTCTTAATGAACAAAAGGTTAATTAGGAAGTTACCTCTAAATAGAAAAAAAAGTATTACTATGTTGAAAATTCTATGCTGCATTGACCAAACGTCTGCGTGAAGGCGCTTTGAATGATAAATTTATTCGAAACAGTAAAGTAAGATCGACGAAATTACTTTTCTTTGATTGTAATTATCAAATAAACTTGAAAATCTATTGATATATTTTGTTCACTGATAAAAATGATAACAGTCAAGGAAAATTCTGAAAGCACACTTGTTGTTAAAAGAATTATGTAAATCATAGATTGTTTAAAATATGATGCACGACCAATGCCATTATGCATAGTATGTCTATAAAACATCTACAAGAGTCCGATATGACAACTTTCTGTCTTGATTCTGCACCTACAATTCAAATTGGTACTTCAAATAAGTATACAAAGAGACCTTGTTCATTCTTGTATTACCTATGTATTTAATTATTCATAGTTTTCACAATATTGTATAATTATGGTTTCCTCATAAAAACATCATATTAAAAAAACATGAAAAAAATTAAACAAAATCAACACCCCGAAAAAATTACAAAGATAAATAAAAAATAATATAAAAAAATATATAAAAGATCCCCCGAGAAACCAAATGGATATTCAAACTCATAAGTTGAAAAACAAACTGACAAAACCATGGCAAAAATCTAACAACAGTCTATACAACACTGAGCATAAAGAATCCCAGCAAAACTGGGGACATCTCAAGTGCTTCGGAAGGGCAAACAGATCTTGCTCCTTGTGTGGCACCCTTTGAAGCTGATATTTTTTTCATGTTACTTAAAATTTTAAACACGGAAAAGACAAATAATCCTGCTTTTTCTCAGAGGACAACTATACTCACTCATAATCGTCTAAATTAACTAAAACAATCACACTTCAGAAAGTATACAATCTGAATCCCTTTATTTATCATATGCAAATAAACACACTGGATACATTTTTTACCATATTGATTATAAAATTATAGTAAATGCCAATAAGTAAGATAGTAATATGTAATATTTCAGTGTGCAGAACACTTGTTTTATTCATGGAACTACTTTAAATATTTGTTAGCATCAAAGCAACATATACTAATATAGAACAGACAGAACATAAGGAAAATATTATCTAAGGTTTCAACTCCTTCAGGCAGGGTTGACCTTAGATGAAATTGGCTATTTTTAAGGTACTTTTTGGTCATATAGTTCTACAACTGTTTCGATTCTTATCCATCATTGTCTTTTAAATATTCGACATTTATCGTTCCTGATGAAGGTAAATCCAGAAAAGCGCGTCGGACGCATGCCATTAATAACGTGTTGTTTTAATTTTTTATCTATAGAAGTTATAACCTAAGGTTTATTTCAATTGTCGAGCAAATACACTTATAATGAATAAAATATCAATAAATATCGTATGATCTTTACTTTACATTTTTGAGAAACAGATACTTACCTAAAACAGTAGGATCCAATCGACCAGATTTCCCCTTTTTGACTGCAACATCAGATGGCTTCTTTGCGAAACGATGATTTTCTTTAACAAAAAATACTTTTTTTTCAGAGAAGGTGCTAGTAGAAAGAAAGACTAAATAAAGGCAACAGTAGTATACAGCTGTTCAAAAGTCATAAATCGATTAAGAGAAAACAAATCAGGGTTACAAACTAAAACCGATGGAAACACATCAACTATAAGAGGAAAACAGCGGAACAACAGAAACACTGAAGTGCAACAAAAACAATATACATAGAAACGAACTATTTGATAACAATTGCCATATTCCTGACTTGGTACAGGACATTTTAACAAAAATATGGTGGGTTAAACCTGGTTTTATGGCTAGCCAAACCCCCCGCTTATATGGCAATTTTAAAAAATGTCGCTAAAATGACAACACTACGTGACAGAAATACAGCACAAGCAAACGCAAGAACACTCAGCATAGAGAAAGGCACAAATAAATAATATAATAGTCGTTACAACATGTAAACCGCAGAATAACAACGAACATCTTCCATTAACGACAGCACAGGACATTACAAACAGTGACGTATTTTTGTAACGAATATATAATCTTCATACAATTATTTTCACAATACTAGTCCAAACAATTATCATGACTATGACGGTATTGAAAGGCTATTTTAAATAAATGCTGTGACGACGTCATACGTATTTGGACTAACACAATACTTTATCCATGGAAATTAACTCGACTATACTGACAAATAAGACATATGTGAAATGTACCGAAAATACAGAATTCAAACCAGAAACGATAGGACATAACACAATATCTGACCGAAACCACAACAGAAACAACATAAATAAATACATGAATGCAAATTCACACTCGGCAAAACAGTCATATTCGGGAATAGGTCACGTTCGGTACTTAGAAGACAGATGACATAGAGGTTAAACCACAATCTAAGACGTGGTAAAAATGTCATTAGTTAGTTTAGACACAGACAGATCGTATAGATCAACCAATTTGTGATGGTGTCCATAAAATTAACGGAGTGTTATTTTTAATCTTTCCTCCTCATAACTCGGTTGGAGCAGTTTCTGTGTAAGGAGCACACTCCTGTATATAAAGTCCGTATAGTGTGAACATGCACGAGCATAACGTATCAATTGAGATATGTAAACACGACGGAGCAGAGGGTATGTTACTGCTGAGAAATGGGAAATTGATAATTGGGAAGTTGAAATCATCCCGTTTGTCATAGATTTAAGTGTGAAGTCGTCCATCTGTATCAATATTGAGGAAAAGATCAAGGTATGAAGCAGTCCTTCTAGTATCAGTAGTATCCTTAATTTCAAATTCACTGGGATATATGAGATGCAAGTACTGACTGAAATATGGGTTATTCATTGATAGGACAATATATCTGAAAGTAAAATTAAAGAATTTTGCAAGGTGCAAGGTGCTTTTTCGTTTTGTCTTTAAGAAGGTTCTGATGAATTCTGCTTCATACGAGTACAAAAACAAGTCGATTAGAAGGGGTGCACAATTAGTACAATTGGAATACCGACTGTCTGTTGAAATATCAATTCTCCAAAATCAACAAATATATTGTCGAATAAAAAAAACATATTCTTATGTAATTGGGAAAATGAGGATTATGTTCTCATAACAGTAGACAAATCAACATGACAACAGGTTTACCAACAAAATACGACGTTTTCGCATAATTTTTGCTGGAAGAGTACAACATTGACAAACGGAAACGACCCTGATATTGGTAATGCTGTTAGGTATTTTATTTATGACGCCATTATAAAATTCTACTATTTCAAGGTAACGATTTTATCGTATTAAAGTATTATTAAACTAAAAATTGTATATTTAAACCTAAAACCGACACCTATATAGTCGGCCTGTTATTTTAAAAGGGGGTGTTAAATACAAACATCCAAATTGCATTTGTGCATCGTCCCCATTCAAATATAGTCCCGCTAGTCATGCTATAACTGGAGACATTGGCATCGTCTCAATAAAAAAAAAGAATGACCAGCAAAACTGGGATTCCCACATATACTTCTACATCATTCATGAAAGAGGAGAATTTAGAAAATCACACAAATCCGTCCTTATATATCAGTATTAAAATAAAAAGGGACGATGATTACCTCCCGTCTTTATCCTGGGAACTTAAACTTCACAAAAATCGTTTTGAAGAACGATATGTTGTCGTTAAGATACTCGACAAAACATCTATCGAAACCTACCTCCATTCTTACTACAACAAAAGATAGCCTTCAGAAATATTATGATGATGTATATTCAACCAGTGGTGTCGATCGGATGTTGATTCTTAAAAATTTGAAAGATCCACTATAAAACATTCAATTACAATCGATTCAAATTTGCAGTAATATCAAAACCTTTAATTTTTCTACGCTTTACACTACTATCCCTATGTTGATTTGAAAGAGTGACTACGTTGTCTCATTAAACAGAGCTTTCTTTCAAAATGGGAAACGTAGATACAAATTCCTTTGTTTGGGCCATGAAAAACCTCGCTTTGTAAAAACTTAACTGATTCTTAAAGCAGTCAAACCTAAGATGATCAAAATGCTGACTTTTTGATCGATAACATATTTGTTGAGTTTGTTGGATTCATATTTCAACAGACAATCGGTATGCCTATTGTTATGAATTGTGCACCAATACTGAAGTATTTGTTTATTGTACTCATATGAAGCAGAATTCATACAGAGCATTCTCCAAGACAAAAAGAAAAAGCATCATGCATTGATAATGTCTTTTCAGCTAATAATAATTTCAATTAGTGCTTATATTACCCAGTGAACTTGATATTAAGAATACTGCCGAAAGTGTAAGGTCTGCTTCATATCTTGATCTTTTCCTCGATATTGGCACAGACGGACGACTTCAAACTAGAATATATGGTTAATCTGATGATTTCAACTTGACAACTGTCAACTTTCCATTTCTCAACAGTAGTTTTCCCTCTGCTCCGTCGTATGGTGTGTACACATTTCCGTATTTTATTTTTCTTATTTTCGCATATTCACTTTATTAGTATATAACAATTTTTTTCTATTACCTTTCACCTTAAGTAAAACACGTCCTTTTAAGTTACTCCCTTTAGAACTAGCTTGACACTCGTATTCTCCTTCATCATCTTGGGTGACATCTTTAATAACTAAAGTCCATCCGTGTTTTGCTTTAACAGTTAATCGTGAATCTGTTGAATACACATTCCGGCCAACAGTTAACGGATACATGTAGGTATTGATTATTCGTCTCCATGTAACCTTAAAATCGAAGGTATAAGAATGTACTTAACCGTTGTTTTTATTTGTATGCTTACGTAATCGGAAACAATAAATCATCAGGTATTTAAACGATTTTTCAAAAAAAAGTCAAGAAAATAGATGCGATAAAGGTTATTTACTAGGAAAGGTTTCAAAGTGTTTCCTTAAATGTGAATAAATAATGAACAATCTCGTCTTGTTTATGTATTTGTATATTGTATCTGCATTTTCACGAATTTAGATCATATAACACGTATACTATGATTACACTTCAATTGCTTAAACCATAATGGCCGAAAAAAATTGAAGTTGACAATATAAGTCAATATGGCCACTATACAAATTAGCAAAGTACTGAAAAATTCTGCCATATGATGACGTTCGTTTGTCTAAACGAAATGATTGGTACTTGCTCTTTCTCATCACGTAATGAGTAATTAGTTTACATAAATTACTCGAGAGATGGGGTAAGCATAAACGGTCATCAAAAACAACAACATAAAATACCAAAAAAGTATTGAAATAGTGTTCAATGTTGTTTTGTCATACATTTAATCGTTTCAAAAAGACAAATGGTGAAAAAAGGCAAAGGATACCAAAGGGACAACTAAACTCATAAGTCGAAAATAAGCTGACAACGCCATGGCTAAAAAAGAAAAAAAGACAAACAGACAAACCACAGTACACAAAACACAACATAGAAACCAAAGACTGAGTAATGTGTAAATGAATTGAATTGACAACCGAGGTCTAATCAATGACAATTAGCTGAAGAAAACAAAGAAAACAGCAAAAATAAACGGCAAGCTTATAATTATACTACTCAAAAAAAGTTTTGCAACAACATTTTTGAGATTAATAGGTGTCAAACTTTGAGGGCTCATATCTTTGTAGAAAATGCTCAAAATGATCTGAAATTAACAGCATTCCTGTTTTAGATGATGTCGAAAAGATTAAAGAAAAACACTAAAAAAATATGATAAAAATTTGGGAGGTTAAAAAAGTGTCACTCCCATTTTTACTTAATTGTTGTTGCGAGGAAAATGTTAGTTTCTGGTCATATGTAATCAAATATATTATCAGATTCACAACTTCGTCAATTTTGAACGTTGTAAGCATTCTTTTAATTAGACTATGTGCAAAAAAGTTTAAATTGTGACTTTCACATTTGGCTCCTCGCCTCAAGTTTGCGGATTGCAGTGTAGCTGTCTGAAATTTGAACAGCATAACTATAGAGCTTTTGAATACATAATTGATTGAAAATTGATAAAAAAACTCAAACTTGAAAAATTAATCGAGATTTACTATTCAGTCAAAAGTTGTGATAATAAACTTTCTATTAGTATTTATAGCAGAATTGATATATTTAGTTTGACATTGTTGCAATTCGGTTCTTTTTTTCTTTCGTCTTTACAAATATTTGAAAACGAATGATCAACGTATATTAATATTTTATAAACATATGCTTCTATTTATCCTTAGATTCCATCTGAGTTCATTCCCGTTTTTTCGTTAGATATGTGGTCATCAATCTTAAGTTTTTATGTTTTGGTTGAGGGAGTATTCTTTGTCTTTTTCTAGGTTAAAGTATAAGTTCATAATTAATTACCAAATTCATCCTGAAAACAAAGATACACTTACACATACTCTGAAAACCTGTTAAAACAATTTAAAACATATGTCATACTTACGGTTTTTATGTCTAATGAAATAACAGAACAACGCAACGATGCTGTGTCTCCAGCAGTAGATGATACATTGGTAATAGGAATATGGAAACTTGTTGGTGCACCTCTGATAGCTTAAAACATTAATTAAATATTTTTACCTTGCTATGTTTTATAAAAAAGAATGGCCAACGTAGATACAAGTATCTTTTCTTAAGGAAGGGATAGTTCGTATTTCTTAAAAAAATACTCTGATTCAATAAAAAACTGACAAGTTGATAATAGATATAAGAAGATGTGGTATGAGTGCCAATGAGACAACGCTCCATCCAAGTCACAATGTGTAAAAGTAAACCATTATAGGTCAAAGTACGGCCTTCAACACGGAGCCTTGGCTCACACCGAACAGCAAGATATAAAGGGTCACAAAAATGACTAGTGTAAAACCATTCAAACAGGAAAACCAATGGTCTAAATAAAGGCAACAGTAGTATACCGCTGTTCGAAACTCATAAATCGATAGAGATAAAAACAAATCCGGGTTACAAACTAAAACTGAGCGAAACGCATCAAATATAAGAGGAGAACAACGACACAACAAAAACACAACATTAAAATGTAACACGCACAGAAACGAACTATAATATAACAATGGCCATTTTCCTGACTTGGTACAGGACATTTTAAGAAAAAAATGGTGGGTTGAACCTGGTTTTGTGGCATGCCAAACCCCCCGCTTTTATGGCAACGTCAAACACAACACCAAAACGACAACATCACATGACAGGACCACAATACAAATAAATGGGAGAACATATAGGACAAAGAAACACATGAATAATAGCTAACAAAGGTAATAGGCTTGAAATTCAATACACCAGACGTGCGTCTCGTCCACACAAGACCAACCAGTGACACTTAGATGAAAAAAGTTTGTAAGCCAAAACAAGTACAAAGCTGAAGAGCACCGAGGACCAAAACTTCCAAAAAGTTGCGCCTAACACGGCCAGGGTTTTCTGCCTGGGACAAGAACATCCTTATTATTTAGAATAATTTATAATTTTGCAAACAGTAAATTTTATAAAATGACTATATAATAGATATACATGATAAAACCGAAGTGGGGACTAACTACAGAATAAAAACGGATACATTACATAAAAGAACTTAATCCAACACATAAAAATACACAGCCGAGTTAGCCAAAGCCTCAACGCACAAAGTGACGTCACATTTGAAATTCTAAAAAAACACACAAAGTGACGTCACATTTGAATTTGTAAAAATATTTCACAAAAATAAGATAGGATTAGGATTGATTCAAGATTAGATTTGTAATACTGACATTACATTCATTAATAACAATGAAAATTACAATACTTATTTATATCAAATTGTGGTAGTAATTAGATAATTAATTGTATGATCTAGCTATGTCGATGTTTCTTCTGAATCAAACTGTAAACCATATATATATCGTATAAATTTCGTTGAACCAAACTAAAATATAATAAATAAAGGGGTGATTACTTATCTTTACCATAACACACGAATATAACAGAAAAGACGTAAAGACATTTGACAAAATCCGACGAGAATAACAAATATAACATCAAAATTAAATGCATGAATTTGGGATAGATAATCTATATAAAAAACGAGAAACGAGAAACACTTATGAACCACATCAACAAACGACAACCACTGAACAACAGGTTCCTGACTCATGACAGGTGCAAACAAATGCAGCGGGTTTAAACGTTTTAACTGGTGTTAACCTTCACCCTAACCTGAAACAATAGTGTAACATCACAACATAGAAAGACACACTATGAAATATCAATTTAAATGGCTTAACTCAATCAAAAGACATATTAACAAAGACAAGTAAACATACACTGAACGAATAAATTTGATCTATGGCACAATGTAAATGCAAAACTAATAAAAAAGGGGGGTGAGATGCAAAACTATATCAGAAAGACAACTATAACCTTGGACCAAATGCTGTTAAATAAAATAACGTACACAGTTAAATAAAAATAATTTTGTTGTAAGGAGTACATGGAATACGGAAATATTTTTTACAAAATAAATAAATTTGTTGTTCATAGTACCAGAACAGAAGTGAAAATTTATCGTCAAACATAATACTTATCAAAGGTGGTATATATTAAAAATAGTGAGACGAGATATAACACAAAATAAGTAAACATTAAATGACAAAAATGCATTACAAATTGTATCAACAGGTCAAGTTAACACGAAAGTACGATTTGAGAGTACTCGCAGTTACTGAAAGCTAGTTAAAAGACAAAAATAATAAATAATAAAAAATCAGAGACTAAAATCAACTAAAACACATCCCAGGGATTTATTGTTTTAACGTCATGGACAGTCAAAGCAGACATGACTTGTGCAATGCCAAAATAAAAGTATCGACAGGCAGTAGGATAGTTAAGATTTAACCTTTTAATAAATATGTATAATGTTATATATAGATAAAGTAATCTCTATATAGAAAATGAACGTGGATGTGTGTTTCCGCGCTTTTAGTACAATATTACCGTAAAATTTAGGATGTGAAATACCGTTTTTAATAAGTTTTCTACAGGTACAGCCAAATTTACTAATCAACTCTTTGTATGTATGAAAGAATTTAGTAAAAGTTTTTTAAGTAATTTATGGTGACGAAATCCCTGACTTAGTGATGCTTGTTTTCTTGATTGACAACATATTTGTTACGTTTAGAGAACGTGTATCAACAAACAATCGACATTCCAATGAGAACCAACTGTGCTCCTCTTGTAGCCTACTTGTTCCTTTATTCATATAAGGCAGACTTCATACAGGAGCTTCTAAGGAATAGTAAAAAGAAGCTAGAATTATCATTTAACATCACGTTCCGCTATATAGACACTGTCCTCTCACTAACTAATTTAAAGTTTGGTATCTATGCTGAAAGCATCTATTCCATCGAACTTGAAATAAAGGATACATCAGATACTGTCAAGTCTGCCTTATATCTTGACTTACATATAGAAATTAATAATGAGGGTCGGTAGAGAACACAGTTTTACGACAAAAGAGATGATTTCAGCATTCCAGCACCCTTATGTGGAGTATACATCTCCCAGTTGATACGATATTCCATAGATTGCATGTCCTATTATAATTTCCTTGATAGTGAGTTGCTGCTTACAAAAAAGCTCTCAGACCAAGAATTCCAAGTGGTGAAGTTGAAATCATCTATTCGAAAATTTTATGGACGCCTTTACGAGTTGGTTGGCCTTTCTGGAATATCTTTTTCACAGATGAGACAGATATGTTCCAATTGTCGTTACCACAATCACGTCCTCTTTTTTCTCGAATAGGACCTGCCAAATTAGACTTATCGCCGGATTTTAACTTACAAGAGCAACATGACGGATGTCACATGTGGAGCAGGATCTGACTACCCCTTCGGAGCACATAAGATCACCCCTGAGTTTTGGTTGGGTTCCTGTTTCCCAGTTTTTAGTTTTCTATGTTGTGTGTTGAATACTGTTGTTTGTCTTTTCGTTGCTCTTCGTTTTTTGCCATGGCATTATCAGGTCGTTTTGACTAATGCGTTTGATTGTCCCTCTAGTATCTTTTGCATCTCTTTTACAATGTTTGAGAACCTAATAATTTATACCCATTATGAATGCATACCTGTCATAAGAAGTTCAAATGTAATTATTCCTAGTATATTGAATTCCATTACACATTAGTTGTCTTTTGCTATGGTTCTTTTGTTAAATATTTGAATTCAGTTCTTTAGCAACAAATACGTAAAAGTATAAAGTCGTTCTTCGATGATGTATATTATATATTGCTGTATGAATTAGGCTAGTCCTAAGTGATCTAATAGATATAAATGGAGTTATAAACACGAATAAATGTCATGTTGAATTCCACAAAAAATGATCATTATGATAATTATAAAAATTACCATAATAATATAATGATAGAACCAGCAATCAAAAGTATTCAAATGAAAATAATGATTCAGATTTATGCAATTTATATTATAATCTGTCATTGACAGTTGGAAGAAGACATGAACAGTAGAAGTTACGGGGTTTAAAGCGTTTACAGTTTATCCGCCAATCACGACAAGAAATATTGCATATTAAATAAGGTTACACAGAAGGTCAAATTCGGTAACACGATATGACGAAGCAACTGACTTAAGCTAAGATCATTTACAAATTTTCAGCTCCTTTTCTATTTCAAAAAAGCTTATTCCCTTTCATTATACCATTCAATTTTTGACTTATATGTGTTTGTTTTTACTCCGTGATATGATGAATATTTTTTATAAGAACCTCAAGGGAGAAGGTATCATAAGACAATTTTTCAGTTATTATGCTTTTTCAAATAACATCACCCAAAGGTCAATAGACATTAGGCTATCAAATATAAGTATTCATATTCTTTTCAATTTTGTCTTTCCTTTTAGGTGTAATACCACCAAATCATAGTACGTCACATCCGGTTGCATACGAAAATAGGTCGAAAAAAATATTCCCTTGAATTTGACAGTTGTAGGTAATTGATCCTACATTTCATTGCAGTAAAACATTTCTGAGTCATAAACATATATCTTGGGTATTTCAAAGCACCATTATTTCTTTATTTGGGGTTTCTATAGAATATTTTGGAAACTTGAGGTTACATGGTTACTAAAGCTTGTACACAGGTTAAAAAAGGGGGAAAATTTGATTGGTTAACTTCCAGTGATGGTTATTTTCTTATATGCAATGAAATGTTATGTGAAATTTTTTCTATAGTACTGGACAGGATAAAACTTTACTCATGCCAAGTATTTCTTTATTTGAAACAAAGATAAATTCTGCACAATTTTTTGAAAAGTGCAAATTTAACAAAGACTAATAGGGGAAAATCAATGGTGGTATTACACCTAATATGGGAAGCTGTACATGCACCTTTGACCTTGTGAGTACTCTCATGTGTTAAAATTTCTTGCTATTTAAGTGAAATATTACAAATAATGAAATATTCTGAGTGGATTGAGTCTCCAAAATACATTTTATGAGAAAATTTCCTTGAAATAGGACTTTACCATGAATATTAGTTGACAGAACAAGCCATACTTAGAGTCTTGGGGAGCTTTTTCTCCTTATTTCTTATATTCTGCTATACTAGAAAATTTTTCCTAAGAAATACTTTAATAAATATATAGTTTTAAGTAAATGCAATTATTTTTAAAGCAGTAACAACAAATTATTCACCAAAAGAGAAGTTTTTTATGTCCCTCTCTGGAACGCGGCGTAAATTTAAGTTTTACGCAAGGACTTATTGAAACCTCCTTGGAGACAGTAAACTTTTATACGGATAGTTCAAGCAGCTTCAATACTTCAATTAATCATTTATAATAACATTCCTATCATAAATGAGTGAAAGTTACCCCAAAATTTTTATTTATTGGCCTAAAAAGTAGAAATTTTGAGGAAATGAGGGTATAAATGGACCAAAAGAGACTTTATAAGGAAGAATAAGAGGTCCATTAGTAGTATTTATCATCCTAAAGTCATCTTTTGTATCATATTCAACTGTTTGTAGGCAGATGAGATAAATATTTGATCATTTATTGGTCCACACTATATTCTATCATGATGCGGCTTGGTTTGAATTTTTCGAAGAAATTTTGCTCGAATCGCTGTAGATGTCGTCTTACATTATACTAGATTTTTCTCAAACTATTGAACTGATTATGACAAAACTTGACAGGAATGCTTGAAATAACCAGTATTACAAAGGAAAAAAGTCACATTCAGTTTATTCAACAAAAAAGTCTTCTTTAGGTGTAATACCACCAAATCATGGTACGTCACATCCGGTTGCATACGAAAATAGGTCGAAAAAAATATTCCCTTGAATTTGACAGTTGTAGGTAATTGATCCTACATTTCATTGCAGTAAAACATTTCTGAGTCATAAACATATATCTTGGGTATTTCAAAGCACCATTATTTCTTTATTTGGGGTTTCTATAGAATATTTTGGAAACTTGAGGTTACATGGTTACTAAAGCTTGTACACAGGTTAAAAAAGGGGGAAAATTTGATTGGTTAACTTCCAGTGATGGTTATTTTCTTATATGCAATGAAATGTTATGTGAAATTTTTTCTATAGTACTGGACAGGATAAAACTTTACTCATGCCAAGTATTTCTTTATTTGAAACAAAGATAAATTCTGCACAATTTTTGAAAAGTGCAAATTTAACAAAGACTAATAGAGGAAAATCAATGGTGGTATTACACCTAATATGGGAAGCTGTACATGCACCTTTGACCTTGTGAGTACTCTCATGTGTTAAAATTTCTTGCTATTTAAGTGAAATATTACAAATAATGAAATATTCTGAGTGGATTGAGTCTCCAAAATACATTTTATGAGAAAATTTCCTTGAAATAGGACTTTACCATGAATATTAGTTGACAGAACAAGCCATACTTAGAGTCTTGGGGAGCTTTTTCTCCTTATTTCTTATATTCTGCTATACTAGAAAATTTTTCCTAAGAAATACTTTAATAAATATATAGTTTTAAGTAAATGCAATTATTTTTAAAGCAGTAACAACAAATTATTCACCAAAAGAGAAGTTTTTTATGTCCCTCTCTGGAACGCGGCGTAAATTTAAGTTTTACGCAAGGACTTATTGAAACCTCCTTGGAGACAGTAAACTTTTATACGGATAGTTCAAGCAGCTTCAATACTTCAATTAATCATTTATAATAACATTCCTATCATAAATGAGTGAAAGTTACCCCAAAATTTTTATTTATTGGCCTAAAAAGTAGAAATTTTGAGGAAATGAGAGGTATAAATGGACCAAAAGAGACTTTATAAGGAAGAATAAGAGGTCCATTAGTAGTATTTATCATCCTAAAGTCATCTTTTGTATCATATTCAACTGTTTGTAGGCAGATGAGATAAATATTTGATCATTTATTGGTCCACACTATATTCTATCATGATGCGGCTTGGTTTGAATTTTTCGAAGAAATTTTGCTCGAATCGCTGTAGATGTCGTCTTACATTATACTAGATTTTTCTCAAACTATTGAACTGATTATGACAAAACTTGACAGGAATGCTTGAAATAACCAGTATTACAAAGGAAAAAAGTCACATTCAGTTTATTCAACAAAAAAGTCTTCTTTAGGTGTAATACCACCAAATCATAGTACGTCACATCCGGTTGCATACGAAAATAGGTCGAAAAAAATATTCCCTTGTATTTGACAGTTGTAGGTAATTGATCCTACATTTCATTGCAGTAAAACATTTCTGAGTCATAAACATATATCTTGGGTATTTCAAAGCACCATTATTTCTTTATTTGGGGTTTCTATAGAATATTTTGGAAACTTGAGGTTACATGGTTACTAAAGCTTGTACACAGGTTAAAAAAGGGGGAAAATTTGATTGGTTAACTTCCAGTGATGGTTATTTTCTTATATGCAATGAAATGTTATGTGAAATTTTTTCTATAGTACTGGACAGGATAAAACTTTACTCATGCCAAGTATTTCTTTATTTGAAACAAAGATAAATTCTGCACAATTTTTTGAAAAGTGCAAATTTAACAAAGACTAATGGGGAAAATCAATGGTGGCATTACACCTAATATGGGAAGCTGTACATGCACCTTTGACCTTGTGAGTACTCTCATGTGTTAAAATTTCTTGCTATTTAAGTGAAATATTACAAATAATGAAATATTCTGAGTGGATTGAGTCTCCAAAATACATTTTATGAGAAAATTTCCTTGAAATAGGACTTTACCATGAATATTAGTTGACAGAACAAGCCATACTTAGAGTCTTGGGGAGCTTTTTCTCCTTATTTCTTATATTCTGCTATACTAGAAAATTTTTCCTAAGAAATACTTTAATAAATATATAGTTTTAAGTAAATGCAATTATTTTTAAAGCAGTAACAACAAATTATTCACCAAAAGAGAAGTTTTTTATGTCCCTCTCTGGAACGCGGCGTAAATTTAAGTTTTACGCAAGGACTTATTGAAACCTCCTTGGAGACAGTAAACTTTTATACGGATAGTTCAAGCAGCTTCAATACTTCAATTAATCATTTATAATAACATTCCTATCATAAATGAGTGAAAGTTACCCCAAAATTTTTATTTATTGGCCTAAAAAGTAGAAATTTTGAGGAAATGAGAGGTATAAATGGACCAAAAGAGACTTTATAAGGAAGAATAAGAGGTCCATTAGTAGTATTTATCATCCTAAAGTCATCTTTTGTATCATATTCAACTGTTTGTAGGCAGATGAGATAAATATTTGATCATTTATTGGTCCACACTATATTCTATCATGATGCGGCTTGGTTTGAATTTTTCGAAGAAATTTTGCTCGAATCGCTGTAGATGTCGTCTTACATTATACTAGATTTTTCTCAAACTATTGAACTGATTATGACAAAACTTGACAGGAATGCTTGAAATAACCAGTATTACAAAGGAAAAAAGTCACATTCAGTTTATTCAACAAAAAAGTCTTCTTTAGGTGTAATACCACCAAATCATAGTACGTCACATCCGGTTGCATACGAAAATAGGTCGAAAAAAATATTCCCTTGTATTTGACAGTTGTAGGTAATTGATCCTACATTTCATTGCAGTAAAACATTTCTGAGTCATAAACATATATCTTGGGTATTTCAAAGCACCATTATTTCTTTATTTGGGGTTTCTATAGAATATTTTGGAAACTTGAGGTTACATGGTTACTAAAGCTTGTACACAGGTTAAAAAAGGGGGAAAATTTGATTGGTTAACTTCCAGTGATGGTTATTTTCTTATATGCAATGAAATGTTA